TTGTACTAGGAAATTAGAAAAGTATAACAGCCATTTGATATAACTTTAGGCTGACGACAAAATTAGCTACTTACGTCTGTGGTTTAGATGTGCTCCTTCTCCTGACTATCACTTAATCCGGCTTCATAACGATGTTAAACATTATAATATCTATTTACAATGCAGCAATGGTGCACGCGTGGRTGTATGTGTCATGTGTGTGTTTTTATAGATATATATCATATAATATAAGGGAGAGGTTTATTTTGGAAAACGTTATGAGTTTAAAACGATCCGTAGGTGAAAAAAAATATTGTTCAAAATAATTAATCGATTATTGTCTTAGATCAGTAATAGTTTGTGTGTCGAGGACACCAACCGGATAAGCGTCGTGCAACGTTATCCCCATTAATGGAGTCGTCACCACCGCAATATGGCCGGTGACCGGAACAGTGTGACTACRACGACGGTGGCCAGCACTAGCGTCCAACAGACCGGACATCCTGAACCGGAACCTTTTCCAGAGCCGTGCCTTTGTTTGTTGTCATGATGTCGAACGCCTCCACCTCCAYTTCCACCTCCATGAGCAGACTGTGGAGGTTTTTTTGTGGATTCCGATGGATGATTATGTTGCTCCTGTTGTCGTTGTTGTTCATCCAACGATCGGTTGTCACCRTTGGCTGTCGGTTCGCCTTCCACAGGCACCAAGTTTTCCTCGTCTGCACCAGCTGACTCTCCGTCGCCGTCTTCTTCGGGTTCCGGCGGTGGTGCTTCCGGAGTGGTTGGAGCGCTGGGTAAGTGCAGTTCTAAAAAAAAAGTTATGTTATTGCGCACGGTAAGTATAGTTAAAAAGGTATTTAAAACATTTCGATTAAATTATTAAAATCTTAATTTATTACAAATTTATATGCATTAATAAAATAAAAATATTGGTTTAGTTTTATATTTTTATATAAGAAATATCCCGACTCGTAAAAAAAAAAAAAAAAAAATATAAGAAATATGATTAAAAATTATAACACATATTATTATTGTTTTTGATTAAATACCTTAGTTTTAAGTTAAACCATGTTTTGTTATTTCCTGTATTTTCCTTTTGTCACTAAGTTTTAGAGAACTGCAACTTCCCCCCTCCTTCGAAAACAAATTCTGTTGGAGTATGGGGATATGAGCCCCGAATTCAAAGATTTWAAATTATATTTTTAAATTTAAATCAAATTTCACAGATCATGTCAGTGCATGACAGACAAGACCATGTCCCACGCCTATGCCTCGTACATCGTATCTAGATATTATAGGTATTCTGTGGCTCAGTCGATTTAAAAACTTTTGTTTTACGGCAGCGTAAAAGACACGACATTAAAATTGTTCAGACTCTACGACAAAAATACCGCAGTGTAACCGGGTCTCTGAGAATTGCGTCCCGTTTTAAATTTTTTATGTAAATTGCGGCCTAGATATATTTTGTACATGTGGCTAGATATATCAATATGTTTTATTCATACTTAAATTACTTATATCTAAGACTTTTTTTCGCAAAATAAATATTTTCCTTTCCATTTTTTAGACTTAGGACCGGCAGTATAATTGTACTAATGTTGGTACCTATGATTAGAAATTCTGTTTATATATATTTATATTTATATTTATAATTGAAAATGTACTATTCTAAATTAGTAATAATTATGCGTCTGTAAAAATGAAAAAACAGTGAAAAAATGTATTATCAAACTGKTAAAAATTTGCAAGACACATCAGTATTTTTTTTTTTACTTTTGTTCTCTGATTTCTGTGATGTCTACTGTCACAATCATTGCTTGTAATATTTTATAGGTAAGTGAGCATATTATTATACGTATTTACATCGATCGATAATATTRATAGGTATTTATCTTTAAATTTTACAGCAAATCGGAAATCAGAATATCCCAGGCCGCAATTTAAGTACATTTCAAAATGTATTGCCGAGACGCAATTTACGTATATATTAAAAGTACATGAGCCGCAATTTAMATAGTATATGACTATGACCTTTTTTGGGGGACGCAATTTACCGACTCCGTTAACATCAATATCATTACGGCGTCACATAAATGATAAATATATATTAAATGAATTTACTATTGATTGTTTATACTTAAATGGATAATCGTAATTGAAACACATCGATACAAAAATACTCATATTCGATAACTCGATTTGGTTTTATTTAATTGTTGCACTTTTAAACGAATCGAATATTTTAATTACACTGAGCATAATATTATAATGAAAACTAGTATCAAAAAAATTATGAGATTTGATATAGGTAGGATTTTCCTTTTAAATGTTCAATGTATTCAATTTTCTGAATTAAATGACATCAGCTGACTTTTGTAAAAATTAAAATACCTCGGAAAAATTGAATATTTTAATTAAAGTCGGAGAACTTAAGAACAATAGTCAAACAATATAATATATTATTGAATATTACCTTTTGTTATTCAAAAACAATACGAAAGTTGGAATTTAATATTGAAAAACATCTTCTTAATGTCAACTTGTAAATGTAATTTTTAGCACAAACATATAGCTAATAGTTAAAATGATTTTATTTCTGTTGATAAATACTGAATTAGAT